TTCAGATGTCCCAGAAACTCTGCACGGTGCCTGTGTCAAAACACAGAGACCACTGGTTATTAGACCCTGAAAGGACCTGGGTTCTCATGGAAAACCACAGACATTAAGCTAGAGTCTGTACTTCACAGTCAGTGGGTAAGGAAAGGGGCTCCTATATTTACCTGGCAGGTGACATTAGGATGGCCAGAGCTTGCATAAAGTGCTGCACTCCACAGGTGTTCCCCCAAACTTGGATCTGAAGCAGAAATTGGGAAAAAAAAACTCTAGTACAAGGTAAAGATTGACATGACAACAATAAATGAAAGACTGTGTCCCCAACTAACCTGAAGGAAGGGTGCAGCCCACTTGCCAACCCCGGCAGGACAGCACAGAAGATGGCACAATAGGTACAGGTGCTCCCCTGACCCTCCAACACGCAGCAGGACAGCCACCTGGAGAGTGGACCAGAACCTTGTGAGCAAACAAAACAACAAAATACCTTAACCAGTAGAGTAAGAAGTGGTACAGTGTTTGTGTGTGTGTATACCAATCTGTCCAGCCAGTGATGGATGTCTGTCTGGAACTGTGTGTCATCCAGGACTCTGCGTGTGAAGCTAAATAAGACGCTGATGGCCTCTTTCAAGGGTTGAAGAGAACAAGGCTGTGTTTGGCTGCCAGAACAATCTAATAACAAAAAACAAACACAAATCTCATACAGGTTATGTACTTAATATTGGTATTATGCATGAGAGGCTTGTTTGTAACAGGCATGTTATGGCCACTTCAAGTCCAGTAGAATTTATAAGTCTCTCACCTTTTAGTAGACGATACAAGTATGATTCCACCTGGAGGCGTGACAGTAGAGCAGTGTACGCATGTAGCGCCACCTTCTGATGGAGCAGCTCACTGCGAGCTTCAAACAGCCTCCTCAGCTCAGCCAGCACGCTCTGACTGAACTCTGCCTGCTGGAAGCGGTGGTAACCACACACCTTTGACTGATCTGCACACACACCCTGTAAGGAATAAATTATATTTGAAATGTCATTACAGTTTATATACAGTTTCTCTACACACTATAGTTCTACTTTTTGTTTTAACTACCACACCTGAAGTGTAAGCTGCTCATCTCTGAAGCTCCAGAGACGATTCTGTGTGCTCTTGCAGTCAGAGGACTGTGTGTGTAGCTGTGTGTGTGACTGGGTCAGCTGTCTACGACAGCGCCAGTAGTTCTGCAGTAGTTCGGTAAGTTCATGGTTCTCCTGCCGGGCTAAAGCACAGAACTGGGCTGCACACACTTCAACACCCTCTAACCAGGCTCGCAAACCTCCACCTGGCTCCCAGACACTCAGCTGCTCCAGTGTGAACGGCTGCAGAAGAAAAACATTGGGTGAGAGACATGATCTCTTAAGTTGATGCATGTTTATATGTAAGGACACAATGAATGTAGTCACTTAATAACTATGTTATCATCTGGGTTTGGGCAATATTGACAGAATCAAATATCATAATATTCTTGTTTATATATATATTTTTTAGAGAGAATATCACAAATAATGTGGATACCATAACCAAACAGGTAGAGGCAATACTTGTTCACTCAGCTAAAACAGTCTAATAAGCTACAGCCAATTTGAAACAGAAAAACATAGATTCAGCCTACATCACCACAATACAATAACCAAAACCATACAACAGTTAAAAATGGTGAATTAATGTGCAGTTGCGTTAGAAAAATTACTTTTCAGTGCTATTTTGCTACTACCAATGCATTCAAATTGTTAAGCACTGACTTTTAAATGTTATTGTTTCAGGGAAGAGATATATATGGCTTTTCAATATCGTGGTGCTTGACTACAACAAAATGTATGCATAATAAACAACATAATTAAACAATTTTCTTCCATTTCAAAGAACTGTACATCACATGCTTGGTTGAGATTACCTGGATTTCTGGAGCTGTCTTGGGTAATTCTGGGTAAAGTTTACTCATGGAAAGTTCAGCTACAGACTCCAGAGGCTGTACATTTGGAGGGGAAGACTCCTGCTCAGGAAGCGCCAACACTGCAGGTCCCTTTTCCCGATTCTTCACGGCTTCCTCACAGAGCTGCAACACGGGGCCCTCCTCCAGGGTTGGGAGAGCGGGGTACAGCGCAGGGGCACTCGGGGCGTTTGGGATCTGAAACTGAGTTGAAATACAAGGCTGATTCCATGTCTGTGAGTCTTTTCCCAAGTCAGCGGTCTGTGCTGCAACTTTAAGCTCAGCCCCCTCCGCTGCCACTCCGCCATCCTCCTCTTTTGACTCTAAAGTCTGTAAAGTCTTAGTTGACACTGATGTGGATGAAGTATGTGATGAGGAGGTCGGCTGTTCCTCAGAGGGCAGATCTGATGGCTGTGCTGTGGTCTCAGGGGGCTGAACAGGGTCCGGCTGCTCCTCCTCTGGCTCCTGATACGGCAGACTGAGGGGGATGTCGGTGAAGTCAGAGGCAGGGGCTTCATCACAGACAGCTGAGGGAGCTGTGGCTCTTCTGTCTTCATCTGCCTGCTTCTGCTTCCTGGCCAGCTGGAAAAAAACATGCAACAAAAAATTAATTATCCTTGGTTAACAGCTCAGCCTGTGTTGCAGTTTTCAACATGTGACAGAAGGGCAGACATTATCGTGAATGTGGCCACAAAAGAAACCCCTGGGCGTTTATGTGAATTTCTAGTCAGTTTTGTCAGTTCCTCCTAATTTCTAAAGACATAAAGGTATGTTGGGTTGGATACTCTACTCTAAAATGTAATGTGTTTGTAACTATCTTGCTCTGTGGTGGACTGGATAGACCTGTCTTGCCTCCAGACCAGTACTGGCTGGATTGCACCTTCAACCTGGGACTTCAAAAAGTAAAAAGGAGTTTGTTTAATCACCTGAGATTTCCCGCTGGTTTTTCCTTTGGTCTTCTTCGGTCTTACAGCCTCCATCTTCAGTGTCTGCTCACTACTTAACAGCAACCATCAGCTGGGAGAGCAAGCGAGCCTGTGATAAGCAGCTAACCAGTGGCTGCCTGTGGCTGTCAAGATAAACACTTGTCACTGGCTGTAAACAAAAACACCCTCGTATGGTCGGTTGAGAGAAGTTGCTGGAGGAGGATAGCGAGCAAACAACTAGTATGTCTCTCAGCATTGACACAATATCCAGAGGATGCATTATTTTTTTATGAAAGTCTCTGTATCAGAAAACGCTCTTCCATAGCTAAGCTAAGCTAAGGCGTAGCTGCTGTCTTTCTCCTTCAGTGTTTTATTCACCAGCGTTGAGAACTGCTCTGTATTGCTGCTCGGGTTATAAAAACAAGATTTCAACGCGTCGAAGCAAGTGACAGGGAGGTGGCAGCCCCGTCCGATGGTCAGCTGTCATTTGTTTTGTTTTGTTTGTTCCAGGAACTCAGCGATCACAATCTTCGACCACGTGACTACTCCACCTCTCTACGGAAAGCCAGAGAGCCCAAACTGTATCATAAGTTGTTGTGCATGTCAACATGTCAGTTTACGTATGACTTTCACTCACTCCAGTTATTTAAACTCCAGTTTAAGATTTTAATTTCATTATGAATTTTGTTTGTTGTTTAATGTAGTTGGTTGAGCTTTATTCATTTAGGACATATCCATTTGCACTGTTTACTGTAG